AATCTCTAGCCATCTTTAAACCAGTTAGCACCCCCATATTTGGGCTTTCAAAGTAAAACAGGCACCTAACTTCCTTGCAAACCCACCTATCCGCTTACCATTACTCCCTCTTAATAAGCTACCGCATCCTAATACACCACCTTGCCCCTAGAAGCACCACCAGTATTCAGCTTAGACCACCCCTCTCTTGGTGGTTGCTAACAAATGTTCTTAACTTCTTTCCTTCTACTACCAAGCCTCCCTTCATCCTCCATAACCATGATTTGCCCCACACACTTTTGAACAGCTATAACCTTGTCATCCTTCAAATGAAATCCATCACCAAAGATGTGCATTTATTTCAGCAGTGCCATAAATACCAGTATGTAACTCCAAAAATTGTCTTCTAACTTTCCTCTTTTGACACAACCCATCTAAACTAGTCTAGATTCTGTATTTATAGAAATCAGGATCAAAATCTCTTCATCCAACCTGAACCCAAACATCTTTAGAGCTTCACAATGCCTCAATACATGCATTAAACATTCTACTTACCCATTGCACATATAACATGTTATCGACCCTCTAGCCTCTTGCACCTTCTTTTCGCTGTCAAGAGTCTATTACGTGCGACAATCCACATAACACTAGCATTTTTAGGCCCCTTCCGCTTCCATATCCTCCTGCAATTCCATCATTGCTTCTCACTTCATTCCTGAGTATGTTATACATGTCGGCAACTTTATAGTCCCTCTGCATAGCTGTTCCCCATTTGATGCCATCCCCCCCACATTCGTCTTTAGGAGCGAAACATATCTAATTAAACGCCTTTCGTCCTCAGAAACAGCATCAATTTATAGTAATTCCAATCTTCATCTTGCCATACCATTTCCTTCACTAGACAATTCATCTCATCCTCATTTAACTACACTAAGCATCTATCCTTCAGTTTGCTACCATCCTCCAACAATTTATCTTGCAAAAATTCTACTTTCCAGCCATCACCAATCTCCCACCCTATATTTTCAACTAAATGAGGCCGCAATCTTGCAACATTTTTCCACACTTTAGAATTTTACTATTCTTCACCAAACAATTTCTACACAAATCCTTTCATCTTCCATACTTACCATACAAACCTTTAAGCATAACTTTTTGGTTTTGCAATCATATTCTAGCCTATACATCCTAGAAGTACATCATTCATAGTTCCTCTCTCCTTCAACCCATATCATCCTCTCACCTTGAAGTACATAAGAAATCCCAACGCATTGCATTAAAACTTCTTTCCTCCTACTTGCTCCAAATAACTATCTATGCATTTTCTTTAGTTGCTTTGTCACCCCCAAAAAAAAAAAACACCATTATTAAACTATAATTGTCAAACAATGAACAGTTTCCACCCTCAATCTATGCATCTTTTTAAAAACTAATTTGCTTTTGAGCTTTTCTCTTTTGTGTGTAGCACCCAAATAACTTCTCAAACTCTTCCCAACTAAATATACAAATCTCTAGCATTCCTGCTTGTATTGCTTGAAAAATAACACAGGTAACTTTTGCAAACTCACCTATGCTTCTTTATCTTTGCTGCTTCTAATACACATCTTGCAAAAGCAATGAGTATTCATCCTTCACCCCTCTCTTTCATTACTAACAAATCTTAACTTCTCCATCTACTAGGTAAGCCTCCCTTCATCCTCCAAACCAGATTTGCCCCACACACTTTTGAACAGCTAGCTATAACCTTGTCATCCTTCAAATGAAATCCATCACCAAAGATGTGCATTTATTTCAGCAGTACCATAAATACCATTATGTAACTCCAAAAATTGTCTTCTAACTTTCCTCTTTTGACACAAATCCCATCTAAATAGTCTAGATTCTGTATTTATAGAAATCAGGATCAAAATCTCTTCATCCAACCTTAACCCAAACATCTTTAGCAGCTTCACAATGCCTCAATACATGCATTAACATTCTACTTACCCATTGCACATATAACATGTTATCGACCCTCATAGCCCTCTTGCACCTTCTTTTCGCTGTCAAGAGTCTTTACTTGCGACAATCCACATAACACTAGCATTCTTTAGGCCCCTTCCGCTTCCATATCCTCCTGCAATTCCATCATTGCTTCTCACTTCATTCCTGAGTATGTTATACATGTCGGCAACTTTATAGTCCCTCTGCATAGCTTTTCCCCATTTGATGCCATCCCCCTCCCACATTCGTCTTTAGGAGGCGAAACATATCTAATTAAACGCCTTTCGTCCTCAGAAACAACAGCATCATTTATAGTAATTCCGATCTTCATCTTGCCGTACCCTTTCCTTCACTAGACAATTCATCTCACCTCATTTAACTACACTAAGCATCTATCCTTCAGTTTGCTACCATCCTCCAACAATTTATCTTGCAAACATTCTACTTTCCAGCCATCACCAATCTCCACCCTATATTTTCAACTAAATGAGGCCGCAATCTTGCAACATTTTTCCACACTTTAGAATTTTTACTATTCTTCACCAAACAATTTCTACACAAATCCTTTCATCTTCCATACTTACCATACAAACCTTTAAGCATAAACTTTTTGGTTTTGCAATCATATTCTAGCCTATACATCCTAGAAGTACATCATTCATAGTTCCTCTCTCTCCTTCAACCCATATCATCCTCTCACCTTTGAAGTACATAAGAAATCCCACGCTTGCATTACAACTTCTTTTCCCCATCCTACTTGCTCCAAATAAACTGTCTATGCATTTTCTTTAGTTGCTTTGTCACCCCCACTAGAGTATGAGTGTTGCATGTGAAAAACTACCATTTGATTAGTAACTGATTCTACAATTGTCAACCTACCAATGAGACAAAAAATTGGTTTTTCCATCCACTCAATCTCTTCTGCATCTTGTTAATAAGAAACTAAAAATTTGCTTTTGAGCTTTTCCCTTTTGTGATGTAGGCACCCAAATAACTTCTCAAATCCTCTATCTTCTCTTCCTGAACCTTGAAATATCACAAATCTCTTTATGGCAATTCTCGGCTTGTATTGCTTGAAAAATAAATACTATTTTCTAGGTATTTATCTTCTGCCCCAAAACTCTCAAAACTACAAAATTGTGCTTCTTTAATCTTTGCTTGCTTCATAAAATAACGACAAATCGTTTGCAATAGCAAATGAGATATTTTCCCTTTTCTACCCATTCTCAATAACAATCACTTCATACTACTAATACATCCCACAATCAAGTGAGATAACTTCTCCATACCCAATACAAATAGGTAGGGAGATAGCGGATCGGCTTGTCTCGAGTCCCTTAAAGGTTTAAACCACCTCTTTTTCCTTCCATTCCACAAAAACAGCCATACTAGTTGTGTGCTCGCACATCATAATAACCCTTATCACATGCTCATCTATCCCAAACCTCTCTTAAAACCACCTCCACAAGTCCACATGACATCCTATTATATGCCTACTCCAGATCAATCTTCATTGCCATGTACCCTTTCCTCCCTTGCATTCTATTCATTGTATGCACCATTTCCTTAGCTATCACTATATTATCTTGAATGCTCCTCCTAGGAACAAAACTAGCTTGAAAAGGATATTCTAGTTTATCCTTAAGAGGCTTTATGCTCTGTTTGGATGGGAAGAAAAATTAGAAGGAAAGAAAAAATAAGAAGGGAGAAAAATGGAGAGAAGAAAAAATTGGAAAAAGAAAATACTATTACCCATCTTGTTTGGATGAAGGAAAGAAAATGAGCAAATATATAAATAACTAATATCCTTATCTCAGAATATATTATGTTTGAAACCAAATTAAAATCACAATAAAAAAATAATATGGATAATTTTTTAAATAAATATAATAAAAATAAATAAAATATATATTATTTAAATTATTATTAAATAATAAAAATTATTATAAAGTTGATAGAGATGAGAAATATATGTGTACATGTGTGTATAGTTAGTATGAATTTTGAGTATTCATTGAATGTGAAAAAATAGTGTATATGTTGGTTTGGAATTTGGCAACAGTGAGATGATTTTGCTAAATTAAAGTAGCCATAAATAAAATTAAAAAAATTGCATTAAAGGCAAAATATGTGTTTATTCACCTAATATGAGAGAGGGTATACGAGGAATATAATGTGAGTTTTCTTTTCGTTTTCTCTCCATATGTGGAAAGTGGAGAGAAAAGTTGGAGAGAAAATGATATGGGTCCCCATATCTCATTTTCTCTCATATTTTTTTCCTCCCACTTTCCTCTCCTTATTTAAATAGGGAAAAGCTCATTTCTCTCCTCATTTTTCTCTCTAGTTTTCTTTATTCTCTTATTTTCTCTCCATCCAAACAAGGGGTTAATCTATTCATAATAAGCTTTGTCAAATGTAAACAGAACGTTACATAAACAATTGGCAAAATTGCATCAACTTTCTACTTTCAGTATCAACACAATAAGAGTACTATTAATCTCTCTGATATGTTCAGGGTAGTATCATAGGATTTTAATCAAATCCACAACCACCTCATTTCCTACCATACTCCAATTATATTGGCAAAAAGTAGCTATAAATCATCATCTCAGGCACCTTATAATTACCCATATGAAATGAAGTCATTTTTAATCTCTAAAGTAGCAGTAGCCTTCCCACCATTATTCAACTCATCAAGCAATACATTCCACCAGCCCTGCCTTGTTAAAATCCACTCTGTCACTGATTTCTTCCTCAAACAGATTCACATAAACAAATTGAAGACTTGTTTGAAGTTAAATGACTAAAAATATACTTTAGCTAGATATAAATTACCATGAGCAATTTGATATCTTGAAGCACTGTTGTTTCATACAAAAGGTATACTAAACATCTAAGAGGGTCTTGACTTGCATAAAAATGCTCCTAAGAAACTGAAACCAACACCCCTAAGAGCAGTTTTCTTTATTTTTGCATGTTCAAATTTATGAGGCAAGCAGGCTCATGAGGTCTAATTAATGTCCATTGGAGAAAAATAATTCACAGGTAAAGTAGATATAGGCTCCATGAAAACCAGTAATTGCACACATTATACAGACAGAAGAAAACAACAATAAATAGAATATCTAACAAAGAAAAAGAATATAATAGCTATAAAAAATTATTTTGATCCAAGTAGGATCTGATGCCAGATAGCTAAACTATGCACAACCCCACTGCCATGTGTGATGAATTGCTAACCAATCAAACCAAACAGCCAAGCAGTAAGCGACTAGGTGACTACAGATGCTCTTGATAGATTGCACCAAATTCTACTCTCCATGCCTGGTCATCATCGGGATTGTGGTCGACAACGTCCGAATCCTCTCGGTATAGTGGCTTCAATGCAGACTCCGGCAATTTGCTATCTGCAAGGTACTGTTTCATGGTTATCATCTCCATTTTGTGTTTTCTTTTGAGCTTCTCCATTTGTTTTCTTAACTTTCCATTCTCTTCTTGTACTTTCAGAAAATTATCCTGAGAAACATAGAAATAAATATCATTTTAGAAAGGTATAATCATAATAGTTGTTCTTTAGTCTCTACTATCTTTTTTTTTAAAAAAAAAAATTTTGAGGGAGAGAGGGGCAGATTGTTTCTTTTAACATACGACAAATCCAAATGAACACCAGTTTTTATAATTTTACCATCCAACATAGGAATAAAAAAGTAAGTCAGAAAGTTAAAATAATTGTGCTCCATATATAGTCATTGTTGTCATCCAGGTTCCTTTGTCGCGCCCCATGGCATGTTTCAATTGAGAAGGGGAAATAAAATGTTTAACTCAAAGTCAGGGGCATTCTCTATTCTCTCCTCTAATCTAAACATAACCCTAAAGTTAGTGTCAGCATAAGATATAGTTACTACAGACAATTGTCCTATACCATATATATTACTATTACACCTTTGCAACAAATGCATCCTCCTTAGCTAAATTTTGGGAGGCGTACTAACTTGATGGTTTGATTTGAATTAAAAATCTAGGAAAATGTTTAAATCAAGTTTTTGCTTCCCATCCTGTCTACCCAATCCAAAAATACTTATCCTTGTGAAGTAGCTTTCAGCTTTAAGTAAGAGTCATCAACCATAATCTTACTCGCTATAAATAATTAAATTTAATTACCTCTGCAACGGTTGCAGCTTGCTCAGCTTCTCTGAGTTTAACAAGTAGTTCTCCCGCTGCATGGACAGCCTCTGCAGTGTCTCTAAGCTAATATCTTAAGGTTCTTGTTCTCCTTTTTCAAAAAGTCTCGCTCTCTTTCTCTCTCCACCCTTAAGGCGGAAAGCTCAGCGGCAAGAGATTTGGCAAAGCGAGCATGACCCTTTTTTCCTGCTTTTGCTGCTGCTTTCTTAACCTGTGCTATCCCTTCCATTATAGCGTTGTGCTTTGCAACCAAGTCATTATATTTTTCTTGTAGATCAGCATAATGTTCTACCATTCTTGCATGTCCAAGAACCGATCTTTTTAGTGCATCATCCAACTCTTCACTGCACTTCTTCTCTAACTTCAGTTCCATCTGCACCCTCTCTGCACGCTGGCGGTAGGACTCAAGGTCAACCCTCAATTCATCTGTGAGACAAATCCACTCGCTCTCCGTTTCAGTCCATCTTTCTCTTTCTTTTTCTAGCCCTTCGCCACCATTATCATAAGAAGATACACCACTTTTTCTCAGTTGTATGGATCTTGATATTAATGAAGATCTCAACTTGTCTGTTGACCTTTTAACTGGTGTATCACTGCACAACTGCAGTTTGCTTCTTAGATTCTGAATTTCCTTAAGAAGTGCTTCCTTCTCAGTAGCATCAAAAGAACAGTCTCTTTGATTTAACTCTTCCTGAACTTCTTTAATTTCACATGTTTTGTCGCTTACACTTTCTCCTCTGTATTTCTCCACCTGATCAAACCCAAATTGTTAATAATGTAAAATTCAAATCACGCACATAATTCAGTGGAAGCTTAGATTCTTATTACCAATTGATTTAGCTGCTCAATTGTAACTGCTTGCTCCTTACAAACATCTTCAAGCTCCTTCTCCCTCTGGGTGGATTTTTCAGTTACAATTTCCAAATTCTTTAAGAAAAAGAAAAATGAACTTATCTTGTTAAAGGGAAAAAAATGCACAGTGAAAATGAAAACAATCGAACACATACCTTTGGAACTTCACCTATCAGCCCATCAGAAAATCTTGCTTCTTCAACTGTGTCAAGAGATGACTTCAAACTATCTTGAACCTCGATGGAATCTTGATCAGATATTTTTCTCCGGCAAGATGCACAAAGTAAAGAGACATGTGCATTATCACTAGGTTTCTCCTGTATTGTTTGCATAGAAGAATCAACCTTGTCACTTTCTGGACATGGTGTCAAGGTCAAGTGTTCAAATGAGAAGGAAGATGAGGACTTGTTCAATGCTAAGTTCCTCTGGTGATAGTCAATTATTTGTAAGCCTCTCTGAAGGCTTGCTGCCAAGGATTCAGTAGGGCCTGGTAAAACCTTGCTTGACCGCAAGGAGGATCTCCGAAGTTCACCTTGCTCGGATGATTGGCCAAGCACTTCATTGGTAAAACTGGACCTCGCCTCTACCTTGTTCCAGCTTCCAAGACGACTTGATGAAACTCAGAAAATCTTGCTTCTTCAACTGTGTCAAGAGATGACTTCAAACTATCTTGAACCTCGATGGAATCTTGATCAGATATTTTTCTCCGGCAAGATGCACAAAGTAAAGAGACAGTGCATTATCACTAGGTTTCTCCTGTATTGTTTGCATAGAAGAATCAACCTTGTCACTTTCTGGACATGGTGTCAAGGTCAAGTGTTCAAATGAGAAGGAAGATGAGGACTTGTTCAATGCTAAGTTCCTCTGGTGATAGTCAATTATTTGTAAGCCTCTCTGAAGGCTTGCTGCCAAGGATTCAGTAGGGCCTGGTAAAACCTTGCTTGACCGCAAGGAGGATCTCCGAAGTTCACCTTGCTCGGATGATTGGCCAAGCACTTCATTGGTAAAACTGGACCTCGCCTCTACCTTGTTCCAGCTTCCAAGACGACTTGATGAAACTGCCATGCTTTTCCTCTGGGTATCTTTTATTTTTGGAGACTCTGACAACATTGGTTCATCAAGGATTGGTGATTGATGGCAAGAGCTGACTGAAATGTTATCTCTGAATGTAGATTTAATTGCTCTGGACGTGTCAACAGTGCAAGCAAGTTTATCTGTTGATGCTAGAGTTTTTAATGTTTTTTCAGAATTTACTTCATCCTTTTCAATTTCGTCACCACTTGTCATGTCGGCCTCTTCACAATTCTCATCCACAGAATAAAACTGGGCACAATCTTCACTTGCTGACAAGTCTTTAAAAGTTCCTTCACATGAACTATACAATTCATCAATTTGCTGGCGCAATAGCTTTATGTCATCCTCACCCACATTTACCTCTTCATTAGCATCATTATCTATGTGAGGTAAAAGTAGAGAGCGGTTTAAGCTAACCCTCAGTTGATTCAAGCTTTCCCGCACATTATGTCCCTGGAAGTACCCCTTTTTACCCCCAGGTAAGCCATGGGCATCAGCCTTAGCTCTAATTAGTTCTTCCTGCAATAAAGAAAACACATTGTCAATCTCTTGTTGATGTTTGCTTTTGATTCTTCAAAAACTATAAACACTATAGTAGTGAGCTTGGGAGACAAAATTATACCTTCAGTTGTCGAATTTGATCACTCAAATCATTAACTTCATCCTCCTTAATTTCATTGATAACCGGCTCATTTCTTATAGATCTTATTCTTTGTCCAAATCTGAGAGTCCGTAGAGTCTCCCCATTACTCCTACGGCAAAACAATACAATATTTACCACTAAAAACTCAAAAAAGGGTATACCATTTCTACTAGGCTCTATACAAGGTTAAATTAAGATATTAAGATATCATATGGAAATATATACTTGCTATGAGGGGAAATGGAGCAGATCACTGAGAGCATGGCATTTCCGCCAAGTGATTCTTGTAGCAAACGAGTCAAACAGGATCTTCCATTTGGAATGTCTCCAGCCTTTCCGGACTGAGTTTCTTTAGCTAGAGCATCCACTACGTGCCTACATCATGTAATTAATCGTTGGTCAATTGTTACAAAGAAGTCTAAATGCAAGTAAATTGATGACAAAAAATAAGCCTATTTACACAAAAATGCAAAATACTAGTCATCTTAAGAAAACCATTGAACAAGTAAAACAAAATTATATACTATTGTGCTCTTGTAACAAATAATTTCACAAAGAAGTCTAAATGCAAGTAAATTGATGACAAAAGATAAGCCTAAGTACACAAAGAGCAAAATACTAGTCGTCTTAAGAAAACCATTGAACAAGTAAAACAAAATTATATACTATTGTGCTCTTGTAACAAATAATTTCACATGGTAAAGCACTTCAAAATTATAGCGATTTTACATCAGCTCAGGCTGCAGAGAATGTTTAAGAATAGTAATCTAATCTTACCCTAGTTGAGATAAGGACTTTTTAACATTCTTGCTTTCCCTAAGACTCTGTCTGCCTGCCTCATCAACTTTATTTTTATCCAGTCCAGCAAGATCAACAAGGCTAATTCTGCTTGTTTTTGAACTACTAAAACCATTTAATGAGGTTCCCTACAACATCAGTTGACAAAAATCACCAAATCTTGCAATAAATCAATAGTGAAAATAGCTAAAGCTTGAGTTTCATCTTTACGATAACTATTATATTACGAGTTTTAAGAAGAGTCTATACCTTGCACCAAGACTCGATAATAAAAGTAAAAATAATATGCGATCTAGAGCTCTTAGAATTTACGCTTGTTGCTCCAACTTTTCTGCTTGAAAGGCCCTGTAGCATATGCAAAGAAGTCAACCCCACTGACAAGATTTCCAGGGAAAAAATGCAGCAGTTATCAGTGAAACAAATGCGACTATTGATCCTCCATACATCAACCAAATTTCGGTTTATATCTACTTCTGCATATTTAAAAACAATAAAGGCAAGAATATATCTAATTTTCAGCATCATTTGCTTCAATTCGTTGCTACCTTGATCAGAATTTGTGTCACATCTTCATAGGTGGTGACATATTCCTCAGTCAGATTCTCAACATACAAGTCATTCTTGGAGTCATCCTTCACCTGCAATTATTTAGGTCAAGCCATGATGATTATAAGCTCACAGCAATGGAGAACAGTAATAGTATGAAATAATAATTTAATGAACCAATGCACCCCTAAGCCTACCTCAAGGTTCCGCTGGGCTGGGTCAAGTAAATCCCCAATTTGTTCGTTGTATATCTGTTTAAAAGAATGAACCATATTTCTGTATGAGCAGGGAAAAGACCCTCATTATCCCAAAGGTGATATGTAATAACGAAATGAAAACGCACCTCCAGGAAAGAGCAGCGACATTGATAGTTGAACTGTTTGCCTTCAGGCATATTTTGCTCCTATAAACAATAATTACAACCCAGCCAAAACACAAGCCATTATAGAATTTTCAGAATGTTTAGAACTAGTCGTCGAAATAAGGAACACATACTCTTTGAAGTTCCGAAAATAACATGTGGAAGATCCGAGGAACAATTCCCTGGTGACTAATACGCGAGGGCTCTTCAACCATGGCACTAGGGGGGCCCCACATTGTATAAGTCTTTCCACTTCCAGACTAGTAAAATGTAAAATAAAAAACAATTATGACAAGGTAAAATTTCCATCCATGGTGACACTAAAGTTTGTACTAAAATTAAAATATTAACAATTTGCAAATTTACAAATAGGGAAATGATCAGAAATTACCTGACCGTATGAAAGAAGCGTAGTGTTGTAACCAGCCAAAGCATTCTTGACCAACGGAACTCCAATTGTCTGAAAAACATCTTCCTGAACAAAATGGAGCATATAGAATCACATTTCTCTATTGGTATATCCCAGTATACTAGAAGTATCATCATAATTGAAGCAATGAATGTATAATAATAGCAGCCAAGTCATCTATTGGACTTAAGTTTGATAAATTATCAACCAAAAAAAAAAAAAAGAACCACAAGGCAAAGTCAAGTTCTTTACCTGATTGGAGTTCCAATCAAAAATCGAATCAAAAGTGAATTGCCTTGCCCCTACACATAGAGAATCAGAAGAAACCTTCCTGATGGTCCGATCTCCCTCTTTTGAGTGGCTGTTAGCGGGTCTTATCCGTACAACAACCTTACCAAAAAACATGTATAGTTTCACATGCTCATCTATAAACTGCTCGAAGTTTACGGATTTCAGAATTAAGTTAATTCATACCTTCACCGGTGGGTCCTGAGGGACTGAACGCTCAATTGAGACCTTCGATTTGGCGATTTCGTTCTGAGAAGTTGGGATTTCGGACTGTAATCGCTTGGTTGTTTCAGGCAACAATTGATCATCCTCCTTCTTGATCTGGATGTTCGGATCGAGGGGAGGAGTGTTTTCGGCGTTAGATTTGAGGAATGTAGGGTTTGAGGAAGATTTTCGCTTCGAAGATATTGATCTAGGAAGAAGGTTTCTGATCGATGAGGACGAAATGCTGCCCAAGAAACGAGTATCGGCAGTTCCTGTGCTTGTATTTTGCATCATGATTTTTGCAGAACAAGAAAAAGTGAATAGGAAGGAGGCTAACGAAGAGAGAGCCGGGGAATAGGATTCAACTGTTGCAGGAGGGTGGAGAGGAAGAAGAGTGTGTCTTTACTCGAAGAGGATTCGACCGTTATAGAACTTCTAGTCCCATCATCAAATTTGAATGATCGGGCTCCTTTTTCAAACAGTAGAATAAATAAATAAAATAAAATAATATGTTCTTCTTTACCAGAAAATTTTATATATTTTTCTTTTTCTATATAAAATTTACATGTTCTTATTAAATTAAATTATGAAGATCATTGCCGAGAATAAATTATTTTTCTATCAAGAAGTGATATTCAACGTATAAAATTTAATATTCTAAAAATAGTACTCCTCCGGTTCTTAATATAAGACCCTTTTAACTAATTTGATTAGATTAAGGAAGTTAGGTAAGTTAGTTAAGTATAAAAAGTGACACATTTTTCCTAAAACACCATAATCATCTTTCTTAATACCCCCTCTCCTTCTTCTATTTGATCATGGTTGAGGGAGTATTCATAGGGGTATTTAGAGAAAATTGATAAATATGAGAAATGGGTCTTATATTTAGGACCAAAACTAACTTAAGAATTGGGTCTTATATTAAGGACCGGAGGAGTATAACTAAAATACCTTTAAAAATTTCCGGCAAAAAATTGCATTTAAATTTCAGCACTTTTCATTTTTATTAATTTATTTTATAAGTTAGAAACTTATTTTCTTAAACTAACAAAATAATTATCCTAATTTTTGAGAAATTGAATATAATATTTCAAAATAAATGAGAAGATTATAGAACAAGAATACATAAATTTCTATTTATCAAGTAAAAAAGGAAAAGGTACCAAGTTTTCCTAGGCTTGAAGCATGAGTAATAGACATAGGCTCAAAATAACACAATAATTAATCAACATGTACTTTTAATCTTTTAATATACAATAAAAATGATAAAAAAATTATAATAAAATTTGGCTTAAAATTCTTATTTAATTATATTATAATATTATAATTATCATATTTATAATACAATATCTATATGTAATTTTTTTTGACCTGGAATATCTATATGTAATATAAAAAATTAAAAACTCTAGAAAGCCCAGCAATTTTTTTTTCCCAATCAAGTTTAATGGAGTATAAACGTCATCTCATAAGATTTTAAAATTTCTCTTTAAATTATGTGACTTGATTAAGGTTTTGACAAATTTAATGATTTAAATAAAAATGTAAGTTATTTAAATATTTTTTAAAAATTTTTTTTAATATTTAAATCGTCAATTGAATACTATAAAATAAGTAAAAATTATTTTGCTACCAAAAGAAGCATTTACTGGTGGAGTTCAAATGGGTTAATATAACCTTTGGTCTTTCTGGTCCTTCTAATTTGCTCTCATTTTAGTTTTGGTCTTGCAAATTTCAAATCATAGGTTTTGGTCCTTTAAGTGGCAAAATGGTCTAAGTTTTTATTGGATTATAAAGACCAATATTATAAATGAAAAGAAATTTGAGGGATCAAAACTTATAATTTAAAACTTGAGGGACCAAAACCAAAATAAAGAGAAATTTAAGAGACTAAAGTTTGTATTAACCCAATCCAATTATTTGTGTTGTTTCTCACATATTCCCAACGTTTGGAGTTGAGATGTTGAGATGTCATGGAATAGAAGCTACAACCTGAAGCGTACATATGTATGCAATGACAATTTTTTTGAGATGCAAATAATATACTACTTCCAGTCATTAATATAAAAAATAAATGAATAATTTGAGTAGATTAAAAAAATTTTGTTAAAGTAATTATTCGTAATAAATATGTGTTGTTGTTTATAAAATACTCTCACTAATAATGTGTATTAGCTAAAATTTTTATTTGATGGAATCTTTAATGTAGCAACTATTACAAAGACTACTTTAAAAAATAAATAAATATGATAGACAAAAGTAGATTGGAATATTATATTTAGGACTAAATTGAATATTAAGTTAGCTTTTATATTAAGAACCAGAGATAATTTTTTTTTTTTATGGCTGGAAAAAAACACATTTTTTAAGATAAAAAGGAAAAAATGACAATGAAAAAAGAATAAGAAGATGATCTTATTAGTTGTTCTCTGTTTCCCTTGTATAAGGAAAAGAAAAAGGCAAAAGCGCTTCTTTTAAGTCAGTTTCTTATTTGCTGGCAAAAAAAAAAAAAAAAAAAGTCAGTTTGTTTTTTGCTGGAGCCTCGGGGCAATTTGGTCCGTATGAGCAATAAATTCAAATAACTAGCCGTTGATGCCTGAGAGAGATTTCGGCGTTGGATGATCACTTTTTTTTTTTTTTTTAATTCATATAACAAAATTGAATCTTAATTTTTAAGTTGTTGACCAACTGATTTTGGCCAGCGTTCGGATTCCCTTCCCCCACCATGTGAGCGGATGAAGCCCTGACCCCGCAGTAATTACTGCAGCCGTTCGATTCGTGGTATGCAAAAGACTGTGACACGTGGCATAGAAGTCGCAAAAGACTTTTAAAGTAAAACCAGCTTAAAATTGGAGAAGCACATGGGGAAAAGAAAATGAATTAAGCTGCATTCAGTTTCAACAGTCTCTTTTAATAAGTGTTGAATATCTTAAAATATTTTGTTATGGTTCTAATATTTTAAAATATTTTTTAAGCATGTTTAGTATTAGTATTTTTTTAATTACCTTAATGCACCACAAAATATTTTTGGGAACTGAACACACCTAAAAAAAAAATTTAAGGTGTTAATGTATCAAAAAGTATGTCAAATTGTTCGATACACCTAAAAAATCATTTCATCATCACAAAATATTTTAGGTTACTGGATACGTTTAAAAAAAATATTTTGAGATGTTTGGTGTAACTTAACCAAACCAAAGAAAATTTTAACTTAAAGAAAAGTCTGCTAGTGTAATACTACAATGTAAGAAAATTTTTCTGGCAAAAAAAAAAAAAAAAACAGAAAATCTTAAACAAAATGGTTTGAACTGATATTTTGGTTGTATATGATTGGTTCGCGCTCCTAAATAAGACGGAACAAGCAACCCACAACTCATCGTACCTTTCTATGACCTGGAAAAATTTTACCCATTTATTTATTTCACAAGAGGAAAAATTTTACCCCGTTTTTTTTTTTTACCAGCAAGAAAAATTTACTATAAAACATGCAGGTCCAAGCACGGGCTAGCATAGCAACGGGATGGGTTACGGGCACACCAAGGGACTACTCGCGCTCGTTGGTATATATTTATATTTTTTTAAAATGTATTAATGTCTTTTTGTTTTCCCAAGGATATATTCGTGTTCACAGGGATGTGAGCAGAATTTAAATTTGCCTTCGACATTTACATATTATTTTTATTTTTAATATTTATTCAATAATTTTTAAAAAATAATTTTATGATAAAAAAATCATAAAATCGCACATAAAAGTTTGGAAAGGATGTCAAAATTAAAATGTATATATAGCCAATATATTAAATATTGTATAAATATTTCAATCTTAAGTTGGCAAAGAATATAAGAAAAATTCAAGTTTTTAATGATATACATGCTAGTGAGTTAGTGAGGATATAAGTTTTCAATATACTACCTCCGATCTTAAATATTAGAGTTAGTTAACTAATTCAAATATATTAAGAAAGTTAATTAAGGTAGTTATTTATAATAAATAGGTATTAACTTTTTTAAAATGTCTTTATTAATCAAATATATTGGCCAGAATTACTATAATTACAAAAACTACCTTAAAAATAGATAAATATGATAGATAAAATGAATTTGAATATTGCATTTAGGATCAAAATAAAAAAATCAAATGAACTCTTACATTAAAGATAGTATGTACTACTGCATTTCAATATGTGTGTGCGGGGTATATAGATGCTTCAAACCTTATATAACAATTATATGTGTATATTTGTTTAATATAATAAAAAAATTATATATTTGACATATATAATACAAATAAAAATAAATACCACTGTAAAATATGAAACTTATTATGTGTGTCCGTATTTATAAGATATAAATAAGCGTGGTTCATGTTAGATGCAATGAGAGAACAAAAGTTCTAATTAATTAATAAATTAAGTATTTTAATACCAACACAGAAGCTTAAAATGTTCCCTGCTCGTCCCACGTATAGAAAATTAGCTTCCTTGACTTCTTTATTGCATGTCATGAGTTCGAGTATGGGAAAATCGTTGCCGGAAAAAGGTTAGTTAATTATATAATTCAATCCATATCGCTTCTAAAAGATACAGGACTTGTTCACATCACCAAAAGTAGTATTTTCGACAAGTTGATACTAGGTTTTTACTCCAGTTAAAAATAACTTTTGACGTACTATAAAAATAAAGACTCTTTAACACCAGTTCTTCTCCTAATGTAAGTACAATCAGTATAGAAATATGCAGCACTTTCTATGCTAGTCATTGAATCGCTGTAAACAAAAAAAGGGTTAATACTATTTTTTATCCCTCAAGTTTACCTCCAATTTAGTTTTAGTCTCTCAAGTTTTAAACCATAGGTTTTAGTTCTCCAAGTTTTTTTTCATTTAAAACATAGTCTTTGTAATTCAATAAAAATCTTGACTATTTTGTTCCTTTAGGCACCAAAACCTATGATTTGAAACTTGAAGGATTAAAAATTATATTAACCCAAAAATAAAAATCAAATTTAAAAATTGGTTGAAACTATATCCTCCATCAACTATAATCAAGTGGAAGAGTAAATGGGGATATTAAAAAAGACAATTATGGTGCTTTAGGAAACATATGCCATATTTCTTATAATTATAATTAATTAACTTACTCAACTTTCTTAATCTAATTAAATTAGTTAAATAGATTTTACATTAAGGACCAAATGAATATAAGATTAAGGGAAAATATTGTTATCTCTTTAGAAAATTCAATCGTGCCAAGGACAAGGTGATGATGTTTAACATGTGCCTCATCATATAAAAGCCGCACAACTGAGTATTCTTCGGTCTCCAGCTCTGCATAAGAACATAAGCAATCGCGATTGGAGAAACATAGATGATTGAATAGGTTT